TGAACCATTCATCTACATGGAAGAAGGAAACGTGTTCAGATATTTAGGAGCAGACTTGTCAGCAGATGGGTATATTAAGGATTAGGTAAACCATGGAGCTGTTGGAGAAAACATGGGTCATGCATTGAGGTATCTGTTGAGACAAAGAACATTATCCATGGAGGAAAAGAAGGGAATGTATGAGAGTACAGTGGACCCCTGCATAACGATTACCTCCGAATGCGACCAATTATGTAAGTGTATTTATGTAAGTGCGTTTGTACGTGTATGTTTGGGGGTCTGAAATGGACTAATCTACTTCACAATATTCCTTATGGGAACAAATTCGGTCAGTACTGGCACCTGAACATACTTCTGGAGTGAAAAAATATCGTTAACCGGGGGTCCACTGTATAGTGGTACCAACACTCTTTATGGGTGTGAAGCATGAGTTGTAAATGCTATAGCACAAAGGAGACTAGAGGCAGTGGAGATGTTGTGTCTAAGGGCAATGTGTGGTGTAAATATTATTCAGAGAATTCATAGTGTGGAAATTAGGTGTGGAGTCAGAAAAAGTGTTATTCAGGGGACTGAAGAGGGATTCTTGAGGTGGTTTGGTCATTTAGAGAGGATGAGGCAAAATAGGATGACTCAGAGGGTGTATAAATCTGTAGTGGAGGGGAGGAAGAAAAAGGGTTGCCCTAGGAAAGGATGGAAGGAGGGGGTAAAAGAGGTTTCGTGTGCAAGGGGCCTCAACATGAAGCACGCATGTGTGAGCATGTTGAGATAGGAGTAAATGGAGACTAATGGTTTTTGAGACCTGATGAGCTGTTGGAGTATGAGCAGTGTTATATTTTGTGAAGGGATTCAGGGAAACCGGTTAACTGGGCTTAAGTCCTGGAGGTGGGAAGTACAATGCCTGCACTTTAATACATTGGCTAACAGCCAAAAAGAAAGAAAAACCCCAAAAGAAAGAAAAAATTTTCATCATCATTCAACTTTCCCCATCACTCACACATAATCACTGTCTTTGCAGATGCGCTCAGATACGACAGTTTAGACGTCCTTCCAAACTGCCAATATCCTAAACTCCTCCTTTAAAGTGCAGGCATTGTACTTCCCATTTCCGGGACTCAAGTCCAGCTAACCAGTTTCCCTGAATCCCTTCACAAAATATTACCCTGCTCACACCGCAACAGCTCATCAGGTCCCAAAAACCATTCATCTCCATTCACTCCTATCTAACACACTCATGCACGCTTGCTGGAAGTCCAAAACCTCCTTTACTCCCTTCCTCCAACCTTTTCTGGGCCAACCCCTACCCTGCCTTCCTTCCCCTACATATTTGTGTGCTCTTCAAGTCATTCTACTTTGCCCCCCCCCCCCCAAAAAAAAAAAAAAGTCGGGGATCAAAGACAAAATATTTAACTAGCCTTCTGAGAAGCTACGTAAATTTCTCAATGCTACCAAATGTTAGGTGCCCAGCAATGCACTATGCACATATGCTGCACTTAACAGCAGCACATCTGTGGCTGTAGAAAGCTACAGGAACTAATATCATTCTCCTCCTGTCTGGATACCAGTCTCATGGGCAGTACACATATTAATGCACCCATGAAACAAATGTTTTTTAAGCAAATAACAATACTGTGACCAGCCAGGGAGTGAACCCAAGATATTTAACCAGCCTCCTGAGAAGTTAAGTAAATTTCTTGACACCTTAGCCCACTACACCACCATGCCACACCTAACACAAGCACATTTGTGGCCACAACAAATGAGCCCTCCCTCAGCCTTCAAACAAAGGGATAGATAATACCACCAGTCTCCCAAACAACCATGTCTCCAGCTCAATCTGTAATAGTGAAATTTTATGGACTATCAATACAAAGAACATTACACTGCATTACTGTAAATTTCAACAGGAACCACTTTTTCTTAGGTACTGGTAAGTAAATTACTGACCAAATATCTTTATGATGGATTTAAAGTTTAATATTTTTCATTTAGAATCCTCTTTTTTCCTATAAGCTTGATGCTTTGCTGAACACTAATGTTCTAAAATCTTCTAACTGACTTCAAATGTTCAGGAGGGTTTGCCTGCATAGTATGTTATATTAGTATAAATCACTGAATCCCAAATATGGGGAGAAACATAAAATAATAATTTAATAGTAGATGTTTGAATGCTTTAAGTTAGTATAGGAAATATCGTGCCACTCAAAGTCCCAACTGATGAAATCCAGTTAGAAATTAATATATACAGGAATTCATTTGGAGAAAAAAAAAAATTGTCTTAAGGGGAACGGTAGATCAAAATACAGCAAAACACAACTTATTTAAATTCAAAATGAGTAAGCATTACATTCTACACTGACATAAAGCATTAAGAATGATGATCAACTTGATAATGACACAATGTGTGGGTTATACTATTTTATTAGAAGACATTTTGTAGACCAGGGATATTAAGTGATAAAATCCTGGTACTCCATGCTAGGAGCAAGGGGCTAGTTACTCCTTTTCCTGTATACATTACTAAACTTAAAAAGAGAAACTCGTTTTTCTTTTAAGGTCACCCCTGCCTTGGTGGGATATGGCTGGGTAAAAAAAAAATAAAAAATCCTGGTGATGAAATGTCATCTAATACAATATCAAAAGCTGCACATTGTGTCATCAACATACTGTCAGAATACATTACCATTTTATATATTCTGTGATATTTCAGATGCAGTGACTGAACCCTTTCAGGGTCCGTCCCGTAGATCTACGGCTTCACGTTGAGTGTCCAAACCGTAGATCTACGCCAAAATTCTAGCGCCGTCAAACTTAGTGCGAAAACGTTCATAGGCCTACATGTGAGAGAACGGGTCTGTGTGGTGGGTGTGCACCATAAACAAAAAATCTAGGCTCCCGCATAGCATTGTGGGAACGCTGGCTCAGTTGCCCTTGTTCACCATGCCTCGTCGCAAGGCAGCTCTCACTCCAAGGAAAATTGGGACTCTCTGGTTCCTATCTGATAGTTCTGACAGTGATGGAAGTGGAAATGAAGATGAATTCTTTGGCTTTGATCAGTTAGTGACCAGGATATTGATAATAGTGCAGAAAACCCTGACGATCCTCAACCTTCTACCTCTGGTGTGGGCACTCGTCAGTCACGGTCGGTTGTACCTCAACGCAAGAGAAAACTATTATTTTCGCATGGCCAGACCTCTGACTTCAGTAACGATGATGATAGTGACGTGGATTGTGATTTTATTGCTCTTGACGATCATTCGAGTAGTGATAGCGAGGAATCATATTCACCAGTGAAGCGTCGGTATGTACGCCGCTGCATGCACTCGGGTAGTGTACCCTACACCGTGCCCAGGGGATGGAGTACATCCCGGAGTAAATCCTGTGGCCCTACACCAGGTATAGATAGTGATAGTGAGGATGATGTGGCTACACTAGGCATCAGTAGATGGTGATAGTGGTGATGGTAGTGCCACGGCCATGTGTGACTCACCAGCCCAGGCTGGGACCCACGCTGCTGACTCTGCAGTTCAAGGACAAAGCAGAGTGTCAGCCACCAGCCCACCACAACCACAACTACCCGCACAACCAGCCTATGATGTCCAGTATCCACCATCAAACCGTATCTGGGATTGGCAGCAAAATCCCAATTTTGTTCCCCAGCTCCACCACTTTGATGACTCTGAAAGTGGAATTCTACCAACTTGTCCCCTTGGAAACACTGCAAATGAACTGGAATTCTTTGAACTATTCTTTGACCAGCCAGTGATGGAAACTATTGTCAGGGAAAGCAATAAGTATTTTGAGTACACCATGGCAAATACGATCATATCACCACAGTCAAGACTACTGGTGGAAAGAGACAACTGTTGCAGAAATGTATTTGCCTTTTGCAACAATAATGCTTATGCCTCATGTCTATAAGCATAATATAAAAGCATACTGGTCCACAGATCGGCTAATTTCTACCCCGGTCTTCAGTGAAATCATCCCAGTGAACAGGTTTATCTTACTGTTACATATGTTGCACTTCTCTGATAAAACCAGGCCTGACAGAAGTGACAGGTTATACAAGATTAGAAATGTTTTTATGTATCTCAAACAAAAGTTCAGCATATACTTTTATCCATTCAAGAATCTCGTAATTGACAAGTCTTTGATTTTGTTCAAAGGTAGGCTGTCATTCAAGCAGTATATATCGAGCAAGAGGAAACGCTTTGGTATAAAACTGTTTGTACTCTGTGACTGTGACAGTGGCCTGGTATTGGATATTGTTGTATACACGGGAAGTAAAACATTGAAAGATACCAAGATGTTAGGGTATCTCAGGTGACGTAGTGAGAAGCATGATGGCACCTTATCTTGGTAAAGGGCATACATTATATACCGATAACTGGTACACAAGCCCATTACGCAGTGATTTCTTGCGAGTGAACAAGACAGATGTGTGTGGCACAGTGCGCTTTAATCGTAAACATATGCCCAGGCTCAACGCAGGTGCTTGTGGTGATGACGTGCAGGTGTTTACTGCCAATGACATCATGGCATTACGGTGGCATGACAAATGAGATGTCACATTGTTGACAACCATTCATCATAATGAAATGCAAGACAGTGGCAAAGCTGATCGAGTGACTAATGAACGTATTCGAAAACCAGTGACAGTGATTGATTATACACAAAACATGCGCTTGGTTGACAAATGTGTTCGTAAAAGTTACAAGTGGTACATGAAACTTTTCTTCCATCTCATGGACATTTCAATGCTCAATGCATATATGTACCAAATAAAGACTGGCAACAGACCACAGTATGGTGAATTTTGTTTGTCTGTTGTCAGACAACTCATAATGAAGTACCAGGTAACAACACCTGCTATACAACAAGGTCCTCGAACTCCTCAGGATATACCCAAGCGTTTGAGGAGGGAAGGTGATCATTTCATAATACAGCTTCCTTCAACTCAGAAGAAATTTGCTCAGAAGAGATGCATCGTCTGTGCACAAACAAAACGACGGCAACAAAGACGCAAAGACACTCGGTTTATGTGTGAGGAATGTAAGGTACCTCTGTGCATGGTGCCTTGTTTCAAGGAGTTCCACAAGCTCCAGCAGTTCTAAAACCATGTCCAGTGATTGTAAATATGTAAATATATGATAGAACATTAGTATTATACAAGATTTGTGCATGTTTATTGTAATAAACAACAGTGGTAAACAATAATATGATAATAACCTTAGTGCGGTTATTGTGTTCAATACAGTGAGTTTATATACATACATTATATACAGTATTGGTCTCTCAGGCCCCAAATGTTAGTAGGAAAAGAAAAAATTAGAAAAGAAAAGAAAAAACTACAAAAAAAGGGTAAACAAAGTAATGTGCGTATGTGGAAATCGTCGCTGTTGCCACCACCATGTCATTTGGGGTAAACTTCTCGGCACTGTATCTCGGTAAGTACTGATCAGAAAAAAAAAAATTTTGTCTTATTACCTTCACAAAAATATACTCTTTAATTCTGTAAGAAAAAAATAATTTCTCTTTTTTTCAAAATTTCTTGGACACTGGAGCACCACTTCAGATTTTGGCCTTGGACCCTGAAGGGGTTATGTGCAAATTACTCAATACGAAATTTACATAAGAAAATAAATCCAGCAGTCAACCAAAATGGATCCCCCTCAAGTAACTAAGAGAGTATTCTATTAATGAATATTGATAAATATTAATTTTTTCATGCAAAGAACTTAAAAGATTTTGATAGACTGGAGCAGAAAATGAATTATGGAATTTCATACAGATAAATGTCAGGTGATGAAAACTGAATAAAGTAAAATAGGTCACAGAACATTAAAGATTTTGTGATAAAATCCTAGGATTTAATAAAAGAACAAGAAATTTAGAGTGAATATTAACAAGATGTTATGGTAGGAAGACTACACAAAATGGTAATTATTGATAGTCAGGGCTAAGACAGAAAATAGAGTTGCAGAGATGAGGAGGATTTTAGAAGGTAGGGGTGATGTCATGTATTCACCTCTATATGGTTGTAGGGGTTAAGTCCTAGCTCCTGGAATTTCCTCTCAACTTGTTACTTGCCAGATTCACTCTCTCCTAGCTTCATAGACCCTATCATACCTAATCTTAAAACTATGTATGAAAGCTGCCTCCACCACTTCATTGAGATCAGTCATTCCACATCCTGACCACCCTGAGACTGAAGAAATACTTCCCGATGTCTGTGTGACTATCACTGTCTTTAGCTTCCAGCTAAAAAGTATTTTGTATGTTATCATGTCTTCCCCGGTCCTTGTGTCCTCTAGGGTTATTAGATTCAATTCCTTTAGCCTTCTTTCATAGCTCATACCTTTAGCTCTGAAACTAGTCTTGCTGCATACTTCTGTACTTTCTTCAGTTTCTTAACATGTTTCCTCAGGTGTGGGTTCCATACTGGTGCTGCATACTCCAAGATGGGCCTGACATAAGTTGTATAAAGCACCTGGAATGACTGTTTGTTGAGATTCCTAAAGGCCTCTCTCAGATTTGCCAAGCGAGCACTGGCTGCAGAGGTTATTCAGTTGATGTTAGCCTCTGGCAATATGGTAGGCAATGTGCTTACTCACAGAGCCTTCTCTCTGTACAAGATCTGCAGCCTCTGTCCCCCAAGTCTGTAGGTATAATACAGTGCCTTAGAGAATGGAAAGCAATAAGATTTGATCCAAGGAAAGGTAGTTCCAATTCTTTAATCAAGAGCCCTTCACTGGTGTCCTTGAAATTTATATACAGTGCAACAAAGAATCAGTGTAAAGTTGCTAAATAGGCAGCTGTTCCAAGTTCCAAGGCTAACCAGTATTTTCTCTCGCTCTTCGTTCATTATAAAATACAAAGCATAGTTGCACAAGATAATTTTTAAACACACCTACTATGCCTTCCCTTCCCTGCAAAAAGAGAGGAAACACTTCAGTCACTCATTCAACCAGTCTTGCCAGCAACATGTCAATATCACAGTTTAGATGGCCCTCCGAACTGCAACTCCCCACTACTCGACTCAAGAAATCGTAATGACACGACTGCAAACAAACCACTACTCCTTTGGAGTGCTGGAACTGTATTTTCCACTTCCAGGACTCAAATCTGGCTAACATATTTCCTTGAGTGCCTTCAGAACGATTTAACCTCTTCTAAAAAAAAGTTTTTCAAAAAATTAAGGATTTTTTTTTTTGGCACAGTCAGGGGGTCAACCTACACATTGCTGTCGGGTTATACTCAAGTACAGTATATACAGTACTATCAGGTATGTAACATTTATTTTGAAACCTCACATAATATAATCACTATATTTTAAACTCGGTGGGAGACGGCCAACTTGTTGAAAAAAAAAAAAATTAAACTTTACCTAAAGAACATTTATATTACTGTGGCTTGATATATCATGATGCTTGTCATTATTAATCTGTCAAAAGTAAATAAATATTATTGTTCAGTTTATTATAGAGTAAGGAAGTGTGTTGAAGGTATTTGTGGGTACAGGAGAAAGAGTGCATCACCAGCTTGTCCTCCAAACCTACTCCTACCTCCACAACAATCCATTCTTCCCATATTCCTTGTCTGCCAACCAACCACTAACACATACTAAACATGGATAACTATACCAAAAGAATGTAAATAATAAGTCCACAGTTCTTTAACAATCTCTGCCAAACAAACATCTGTTGAACATGAGTATGACTTGCCTGGCATAGGCCAGAAGGCCTACTGTAGTGCTTCTCTATTCTTATGTTCTTCTGTAATAGTTGGGTGTGAGTAGGACCTCTCTAGCATGAACAAGCAGGTCTCCTGCAGTGCTTCTTTATTCTCATGTTATAAAGTGTTAAGGCTATTTCTGAGTTTTTGGTGCTCTTGTTAACATTTCAGTACTTTTACTCAAGTTTTAGTTATAACATATTTTGCATCAAGACTATTTAACCTCTTTTATCATCCCTCAAAATATTAAGGATTTTCTGGGAAGGAAAGTCAGGGGGTTCAACTTAAATGAGCAGTCAGATTATACTCAAGTACAGTATACACAATACTACCAAGAATATAAAATTTATTTTAAATTTTCAAATAATATTATCACTAAAAGAACATTTGTATTACTTTATGCTTAGCATATCATGGTGCTTGTAACTCTCAAAAGTTATAACTGTATTAACCCCTAAAGTAAGACATTATCTAAAGCTATATAATAGTAAACAGTTTATTGCCAATTTGTAGTACTCTAACTCAATTAGACAGACCCATGGAAGAGCTGGGCTGAAGGGTTCTTGCTGGCTACAAAATACAGAGAGATGGTCATTCTTGCATATCAAGGCCCTAACAAGCCGAGTCTTCCTACCTTCAATATATACACTTACAACGAATGAAAAAAAAAAATAATGGCAAATTTTAGATTTTTACCCTTTTATAACTGTAATTATTCGGTTTTCTAGGGCCAACTGATGAGTTTTCTTTCTGACTTTAACTTCTTTTCATCCTTAGAAGATACCTGAAAAAATAAAAAAAAATGAACACAAATAAAGGAAGAACTATTCAAATTACTTAGGTTCTTGTTCTTGATATTACTGATATTTACAAAACTTTGCTTGATATGTATGTGAAGAATGTAGGACTGAATTCAGTCTTACTATTACGTAATTGGTATGCGAGCTGAGACATGTAGACCATGTCTGTAGACCATAACAGCAAGGCACAGTACATGTACAATACCCAAAAAAGCATACAGGCCTGTCATTATCTTTTGTGGAAAAAACCCTCAGCTTCTTTAACACAATAGTGATTTAAGAATGAGGACTAATGTAACCACACCATTTATGATGACCTACTTACAGTATTTCTTATCATAACATATTGTAAGAGATAGATGTAATCGTTACACCTACAAAGTTGTAAAAATTTAATTGATATATATCAAAATAAAACATTAAGATTGTTCAGAATTACTGAGAAAATTTTTTTATACTCACATTGTCTGAAGTTGATTTTTCTTGACCATTTAAAAGTTTCATTTTTTTTAGCTGTTTCTGTGGTATTTCAGTCTCTTTTCTCTTTAGTTGAGATTCTTCCTCTTCTGACAATCTTTGCACTTTATTACTTGGAGATAACTCACTATTCTCTGAACTCCTTCGTTTAATGACAATAGAATCAAGATCTGAGCATGAAGATTTAGTTGCAGTGCCTAAGGCGATTTTCTTGCGGTCAGAATTAATGCAAGAAGGAGGCGGCTTCAGTCTCTCTCTTGCAGCAGCGTCTCCCAAAACTACATTTGTTGAAGACAAGAGAGAACTGGTCTTTGACTCCATTACAAGCCTGTCAAGAACAATACTAAAAGTGATTAAGATGATATGCTATATTTACAGCTTGTCAATGTGATTTCATAAAATATAATGTTAATTAGAGAGAAATGGCAAGAAATTTTTATGCAGTGGACCCTTGGTTATCGGCGGTTCCGGATATCAACCAATTCGGATTTCAGCCGCTTTTTGGGCCAAAATTCTATCCCGGTTTTCGGCTGTCACTTTGGAGATCGGCCATATTGGACACACAATAATAGTCACTCTTGGGCACATTAAATGTCATACTTTAGGTTAATACATTGTAACTCTGGTTTTCACACGCTCCAGTTATCGGATGTTTTGGTTTTAGGACCGTTTTTTGTGCGAAATTTTGTTCCGGATAATGGACCTTGATCCGGTAATCAGACGTATTACACGCGTCCACTTGGGCCATTCATACGTTCGTGACTCACTCTTGGGCACATTAAATGTCTTGTTTTAAGTTAATATAGACATTCTGCTTAATCCATCTATAATATTTTCTTCAAAATTATACAAGAAACACATTATATAGCATAGTATAAACATGCAATGTATATTTAAACCTTAAACTGTCCAAACATAGACCTACGTTTGCTCGCATAGCGCTCTGAAAGTAGATCTACGTTTTATTTTACATGCTTTCAAATGTCAAAAAAAAGTACAGTAGATCTATATTTGGAGCACTATGCGAGTGAACGTAGATCTACGTTTGGACAGTTTAAGGGTTAATTAATAATAATCACTCTTGGGCAAATTAAATGTCTTATTTTATGTTAATATAGACATTTTCATTAATCCATCTATGATATTTTCTCCAAAATTATATAAGAAACACGTTACATAGCACAGTATAAACATGCAATGTTTATATGCTATTGAGTGGTGAGTCGGTGGAGGGAAACCATTACGTTTCCTCTTTTTCTGTGGTTGAGCATTAGAGAAAACTATATGAATCTGTGTCTGGCTTTTGTTTACAACTCTCAGCATGAATTATTCATTACTTCTCCCTTTGTTTATGATGGTATCTAAAGGTAGTTAGAAACGATTAAACTCAGTGAACAAGGTATGTTGATGGTAATAATATGGTTCTGGGCCTCATTAAATATCATGTAGTCATGTAGCCCAGCCTATCTACCTCTACTGACTACCTACATCTACCAGCTACTTAGTAAGTAAGTTTATTCAGGTATACACAAATACAGTTACATAGATTATCTCACACAGCAGCATGTGTGTAGAGAACCTAGGATAACCCAAAAGTCAGACACAGTGGCTTCCTACAAAAAAGTACTACTCACCTCTTGCCATATATTTAAGACTACAAATATTTTAAGGTAAGTAATGAAAGTGGAAAAGTTGGTGGATGACCACATCGAAGAGCTAACCACTTTGAGCCCTATTTTCGGCTAATTATATTGTTCCAGTTGACCAAACTCATAGCTATTTCTTTGGAACTCCATTTGTTCTATCGACTGAGTACAAGAAACTGCCCATTTACTGACTTCAACTACCCAATAACGAGGTCAGGAATTTGCAATTTGGCCAATTTCATGCAAATTAAAAAAATGCCAATTTCAAAATAGGGTCTAGAATGAACAATGCAGACATTCCTGGCTCTAAAGTAACATTTTTTTTGTTCATCAGTCACATCTCCAGGCCACTCTGACATTAATCTTACTTTCTATTTTTAATTTTTATTCAAACAAAAAATAGAAGATTTACTGTTATGCAGATCACTGCAATATTGTAGGTGTCCTTTTTTCTGTCTCATGAACATGCAAGATTTCAGGTATGTCTTGCTACTTCTACTTACACTTAGGTTACACTACACATACATGTACAAGCATATATATACACACCCCTCTGGGTTTTCTTCTATTTTCTTTCTATTTCTTATTCTTGATTATTTCCTCTTATCTCCATGGAGAAATGGAACAGAATTCTTCCTCCGTAAGCCATGCGTGTTGTAAGAGGCGACTAAAATGCCGGAAGCAAGGGGCTAGTAACCTCTTCTCCTGTATATATTACTAAATGTAAAAGGAGAAACTTTCGTTTTTCCTTTTGGGCCACCCCGCCTCAGTGGGATACGGCCGGTGTGTTGAAAGAAAGATGATGTCTGTTGAGTATACAGTACCTGGTAAAGTGTATGGTAGATTTATTATTTAAAGAATTAGGAGTAAGACAGAGAGCAGGATAGATGAAAAAGGAGGCTTTAGGAAGGGTTGGGGGTGTGTAGACCAGGTGTTTGCTGTGAAACATATAGGTGAACAGTATTTAGATAAGGGTAAAATGGTTTTTGTGGCATTTATGGATTTGGAAAAGGTGCATGATAGGGTGGATAGGGGGCAATGTGGCAGATATTGCAAATGTGTGGAATGGAGGTAGGTTATTGAAAGCAGTGAAAAATCTTTATGAGCATAGTGAGGCTCAGGTTAGAGTATGTAGGCAAGAGGGAGATTATTTCCCAGTAAAAGTTGGCCTTAGACAGAGATGTGTGATGTTACCACAGTTGTTCAATATATTTATAGATGGAGTTGTAAGAGAAGTGAATGCTCGGGTGTTGGCAAGAGGTGCGGAGTTAAAAGATAAAGAATCTAACACAAAGTGGGAGTTGTCACAGTTGCTCTTTGTTGATGACACTGTGCTTTTGGGAGATTCTGAAGAGAAGTTGCAGAGGTTGGTTGATGAGTTTGGTAGGGTATGTAAAAAAAGGAAATTAAGAGTGAATATAGGAAAGAATAAGGTGATGAGGAAAACAAAAAAAATTAGGTAATTTAAGATTGGATATCAGATTGTAAGGAGAGAGTATGGAGGTGAATGTATTCAGATATTTGGGAGTGGACATGTCAGCAGATGGGTCTATGAAAGATGAGGTGAATCATAAAATTGACGAGGGGAAAAAGGTGAGTGGTGCACTGAGGAGTCTGTGGAGACAAAGAACTTTATCCATGAAAGCAAAGAGGGGAATGTATGAGAGTATAGTTATACTAATGCTCTTGTATGGGTGTGAGGTATGGGTGGTGAATGTTGCAACAAGTAGAAGGCTGAAGGGACTGGGGATGTCATTTCTGAGGGCAATGCATGGTGTGAATATAATGCAGAGAATCCATAGTTTGGAGATTAGGAGGAGGTAGGGGATTACCAAAGCTATTACCCAGAGGGCTGAGGAGGGGTTACCAAGATGATTTGGACATGTAGAGAGAATGGAATGAAATAGAATGACTTTGAGAGTGTATAAATCTGTAGTGGAGGGAAGGTGGGGTAGGGGTCGGCCTAGGAAAGGTTGGAGGGAGGGGGTAAAGAAGGTTTTGTGTGCGAGGTGCTTGGATTTCCAACAAGCGTGCATGAGCATGTTAGATAGGAGCAAATGGAGACAAATGGTTTTTAGGACTTGACGTGCCATTGGAGTGTAAGCGAGGTATCATTTATGAAGGGATTAAGGGAAACTGGCAGGCCGAACTTGATTCCTGGAGATCGGAAGCACAGTTCCAGCACTCTGAAGGAGGGATGTTAATGTTGCAGTTTTATAACTGTAGTGTAAGCATGCCTCTGGCAAGACAGTGATGGAGTAAATGATTTGAGTTTTTCTTTTTCGGGCCACCCTGCCTTGGTGGGAAAAGGTCGATGTGTTAATAATAATAAAAACAAAAGCTTACCATACAAACCTATTCTCTCACACATAAGCCCAAATTTACCAGTCACAGCTTATCTGAGTGAGCTGAGCTCATGGCGACCAACAGTGGCTTCAAAGCCACCTTATCTTTAGTAAGCAGGTTATAACAATAAATGGAGAAAAAGAAATTGGAATGACTTTTGCAGCAAGTAGCGCCACCTTTGACCATCCCAAAAAATGCCGCACCCACATGACAACAGGAGAGTGCAACTTCCCCCCCCCCCCTGTAACTTATTTCACCCAGAAATGTGTCACTCATCAATCCATGAAAGAAAATGCTCCAGTGCATACTGCCAGGGACATCACCTAAAGGGGACTAGAAGACACAGACTAGCCAGACTATGGGAAACAAAAGAGGGGAGCTACAACCTCTCCAGGGACAGAGGTGTTTTAGGGCCAGGAAGGAAAAAAGACTGGCAAGAAATAACAATAATCCTACACCAACTGAAAACATTTCTGCAGCAGAGGCACGGACACTGGCCTCTACTCCAGAACAACAGATATTAGAGTCAGCAAATAAAAAAAACCTAAATTCCATCAATATAACGACATTTGTCTTTGCAAACATACAGAGTCTAAAGCTGTCAAAAACAACAAAATTCCTTACATCAAGGGACTGCTCATGGAGTAAAATGCAATATTTGCAGAATTCACAGAGACCCACATAAAGGATCATTATGACAATGAAATATGGATCCCAGGTTATAACCTATTCCGATGCGACAGAGTCACTCATTTGCACAGAACTACTAAATGCCTCAAATGATGTAGCTGAAGTTTTGGTAAAGATTGAAAATCAAAACTTTGTCATTGTGGTGGTATGCAAGCCTCCAGATGCAACTTCCCAGCAATTCTAGCAGCAGCTTGTGAAACTTGACCACTGTCTAGAAAATCTCCCAACTCCTGCCCCAAACATCTTACAACTAGGAAATTTCAACTTGAGACACCTAAAATGGAGGAGTATAGCAAACAATGTTTTAGCAGAGATCAACCCAGGAGGCAATTCAGATGAAAATTCACACACACACAAACTATTAAATCTCTGCACCAAATTCACCTTAAAGCAGCAAATAGTAGAGCCTACAAGAGTAGAAAATACGCTGGACCTCATCTTCACTAATAATGATGATCTGATACGTAATATAACCGTATCAAAGACAATACACTCAGATCACGACATAACAGAGGTACAGACATGTATGCACAGGGCTCCTGACCAGCAAAATGTGAGCAGTCATGAAGGTCTCTTCACGAAATTCAATTTCAATAACAAAAACATACAATGGGATCAAGTAAACCATGTCCTAAATGAAACAAAC